TGCCTGGTCTCGTACCATATAAAGACTTGTTTACACACTTAGATAGTCTCCACTTCTGAAAATGGGTTAGAACCAACTAATGGAGCACCAATGCTGAACTGTATGTTGCATTGAAGATTTTCTTTTGAAGAAGGGCATTCCTCATTGACGTGTTGCATTGAAGGGAATAGCTTCACGCAAGCCAGATAGTACTGCGCAGAAACAGGTTTAACCAAGTTGGAGAGAATTGCTTCAAAGAACTTGGAGAGAAGTAGATCAAATCAAAACTGAAGAAAAGAAAACCGAAACAAACTAAATCGAAAAGTGAGATGTGACATGGAAGGATTGACATCGTCAAAGGAGTTGACTGGTATAATCTTAATTTTCTAGAATAGAGCCAAAGGTTGGATTATAGTTAGGATGGATCATTGTATTCAGGCGAGCCATTCAAGTGAAGTGCGGCAAGAGAGGATGTCAGAAATTGTGTCAGGCGCCAGAATGGGTACAACTCTGGCTCTGTGTCGTTTGAAACGCTTAAACCTCGAAGCAAGGTGCAAAACAAGCTTCGCTTAGCCAGTGCTTCAGTCCAGGCCTTTGGTATAGTGGTAAGAGTGTAGCTTGTGATGTGTGGGTTAGGCGTACGTCACGGGTTTGAACCTAGCACAGACAAAAGCCTGGTATTTAAGTGGAGAAGGGTAGAGGGGCATGTCAATTATCCTCCAGCTTTCTAACCTTGTGCCATTGATTCACGGGGATTTCTCGGTTCTTCAAAAAAACAAAAAGCTCATTTGTTGTAGAAAGGATTTCCCCATATTGTATAGACAGATGGATGATTCTTTTTGGAGCTTTCATGTAGACTCACAATATATAGAAACATTCACTTGGTGTATCATCAATGAAGTTATTTTAACTTATTAAACTTCACTTAGCAACAACAACAACAACAAATGTTATTGGAATCAAGTCAGGTATTCCATGCTTACTTTTCCTGTTGTTCCATTGTCATTTTCATGTGATTGCTTGAAAAGTCAGGTATTCCATGCTTACTTTTCCTGTTGTTCCATTGTCATTTTCATGTGATTGCTTGAAATAAAACCGAGGAATAGAATAATAATTTAGAGAGATGAAGAAGTTGAGGCTTGGGAAAGTTTGTACCTGCTTGAGAAATATCTAGTTTCTGAAGTATTTCATCAATGATTTCAGTTCTATTGATGGAGTCACTCCTGTTGTGGTGATTATTCCGCTTCTAATATTATTGATTTTGTTCACTCAATGCCGTGATACATCATACTCTGTGACTTTTGGCATCAGAAATGTTGAGGTTTTCATACCCTTGCCATAATTGTGGCTTTGTCTGGTTAGTTATAGTCGTACTTTCTGTAGAAAATTTTTACGAAGGAAATTCATTGGTTGATTAATATTTCTGGTACTTTTGCATCATAATGTCAGTGGCAGGTGCTAGTAGTCAAATGAAGGGATGGGGATGTAAGGACTGGTCTTCAGTGATCATCACAGCTTTTGTAACAAAGATTGAAAAAGGATGTTTACATATGCCTAGGAGCAAATGCCAGAATTTTACTGTAAATGACTTATACAAGGAAATAAGTATGCTCCGCTATGTAGTGCAAAACATTTGAACAGTTTAATATAACTTTTTTTTTTTGATGTGCACCGGGTGTCCGAGTCTCTAGGAGCCCCGACTAATCCCGGGGGTGCACAGGCCCTCGGCAAGGAGTTTCGCGCAAGTGCACCACGGTTAATTCAGGTTTTACCCAGTCCGATGGCCCTCAGAAATTGTTTGCACTCAGTGGGTTTCGAACTTGAGACCTTGAAAGGGAACAAACCCCAAGGCTCAAGTCAATTGCCACCGGGCCAACCCCTGAGGGTTGAACAGTTTAATATAACTACTTGAAAATAATAAATATATTACTGGAAAACATTGCGTTATATCAAATGGACATATAAAACAAAGTACCTCTAACATATACAGGATTGACTAATGCCTAAACAAGTTTCGGAGTGGTCATCTATTTGTTGAAGTATTCTATAAATTTGGAAAAGAAAGTGGATTGTTCTTCTGGATAACCTGTGCTATTTAATTTTGCGCCCATCCTTTTTTCCCCGGTATTTTTGCGCACAACTTTAATCTAGTTAAATGTTTAGTTGATGCTCTTCTAGCCCTATATGTGTGTTCTTACCCATTAAACTCGGTCAGCCTAGCTGATAAGCATTCTAATAAGTCTGTACAAATAACAAGGTTAAGACTGTAGTACCATGTATATATGAATATAAGATAAGTGGGCACATGCAAAAATAAATATTGGACTTCCACTCTATGGGATCACCAAACTACTGAACAAGTTCTATTTATGAATATATGATATATGTTAAGTTTTCCTTACCAAAAATGATATTTGTTAATTCTCGAGTCTAAGCATTTATTGATAAGCACTTCAACAGCACCGAGTTCCTATTCAGTTTAATTCGCAAAGACTAGACACTGAATGCTCTTGCCTCAATGGACCTTTTTTTTGAGATCTGATTTTGCAGCACTCAAATAATTCTTTTTAAAAAAAGGTAAATATAGGGATCTAACTGATGTTACCTAGATGCTGAAATTCTTATCCATTGACAACTACTTCTGATCCCTTTGATGAAGTCGGTTAACTTCCAACCATGTTAAGCTGATTTAGTCTTTTAGAGCATCCATGTTGAGTGTGTTTTCTTCTCCTTTTTTTCTGCTGGGTTGTGTTGCGTGTGTCTTCTCCTTTTCAGGGGCTGTACTTTGGCTTCGAAGTCCTAAGGATAAAAGAATATTGACAGTTTTCTTTGCTCAATTTTCTTTTATGCAGCTGGATCTCCAAACAGTAAAGGATCGCTAAACGTTTGTTGAGCTATTTAGTAATTCAGCCTTTAATGCTGATAACAGTCCATGTAGTTCAAATTTGTCATGAAAACTATTGATTAACGGCTTTAAAAATTGGGCTAATGCCTAATTTCAGAAACGTCGATTAGCCCGACTACTTTTTTGTACAACTCTTAAGCAGTTGTATGTTTGTTTCATAAGACAAAAGGCGGTTGGGGCAAGGGCTTCATTATGTGCATTTTTCTTCTGAAACCTAGAATAAGTCTGTGATTTACAGATAGGTTCAAGCTAGTTAGATGGAACAAAATGTTTGATTAGCTTATTATCATGGAAATCACATTGGATGCATGCAGTTGAATATTCTTTTATCTTGATACCTTTTGTTTGTTGATATTGGTGAATGGAGTTTATTAGGAAAGAGTTCCGAAGGGTAGTTTCCCACCCAAACACGTGGATGCATGCTGAGATGCATAAAGATAGTAAATAAGCCCGTCTGAACAACAATAATCCAAATCATCTTTTATATGGCCTTTATCATACCTTCAGTAAAATTTGACACCCATATTTTTTTAAGTTTGTTCTATAAGCAAATGTAGAGATATTCCTGAATCCTTTTGTTGAAATTTCTGCTGAAAGAACAAGTTCTAAGTCATCTCATGCTTAATTGAACCTTCTCTGTTAGAGTTAGTAGATTGAAAAATTGAAGTAGAGTGTTACTCTTTTTTATTTGTTTTTTTTCTCTCTCCATATGAGTGGATTGTTTTATTATGGAAACTCTACTTTTATGCATTCTGATTCTCTAGACTTTGGCTTGTCCACCATCAGTTCGTGGGAGACTAACTTTTAGCATTGCATTTTCCCCTATTTACTAATTCAAAAGTGTAGTTAACATATAAACATTTTGCACTCTGTAGGAAATTCTGGTTCTCCCGGTTGTTGAATCCCTGTTATGTAGAATTCACCTGATGTAATTTCTGTCACTAGTGCTCATTCCTTGCTTTTTTAACTTGACTATTCCGTAGTCTCAGTGGTTGGATGGTTAGTTTACTGCTACATATAGCAATCCTTTTTACTACACGAATAAGCTAAGTGTGTTTCTCAGTTTGGTCAGTAATGTGTGGGATTTTCCCCCACTTTCTCCATATCTATTTTTCATCCTGTCTCTTCTTCATAGTTGCATCTTCTTCAATCCGTCCATTTTTTATAGTTTTTTATGAAGGAGGTTTCAGTCCGTCCTTCTTGATAGTTGCATCATCTAATTGATTGTAGTAGAAAGGGTTTGATCTTAGAATGTCAACATTTTACAAGACCTTCAAGGTATGACTTAGCCGACTAAGTGATATGTTTGGTGAGGAAGCATCTTACACAGCAGCAAGTTAAGAATGAAAAAACTAATGTTAGGGAAAAAAATTAGAAGCTATAGATAGCATTCCAATCTTGTTGACTCTATGAAACTTCTGGTAGTCTTGAAGATGGTGTGTTTCCTGAAATACCATGTTTTTTGTTACAAAAGGCTAGT